GGAAAGATTGAAGGCAAAAGGAAAAGAGGATGGCAGAAGGTGAGATGGATAGTATCATGGAAACAACAAACATAAACTTGGACAGGCTGTGAGAGATAGTGAAAGACAGAATAGCCTGGTATGCTATGGTCCGTGGGGTCTGAAGAGTCAGGCATGATTGAACAGCAGCATAATCCATGGCCCAGAGCCCAAGTTCTGGGTTTACATAGACCAATTTTAGTTTTAAGGAGCTTCTCACTTCTTGTTTGTGCCCTCACCCAATGTTTTCTTTCAAAAAATATGATTTTACCCCTACCCAGTGTCTTCCTCGAGATGATTAGGATGTATCTTATATTTAGATCTCTATCGAAAAGGTTAAAGGGCCCTCAAATTCCATACAAATACTTAGGCTAACAATACACCAAATAAAGGGCAGATTTTATTTCACTCAACAGAAAACAGGAAACACAAAGGATTAATACCTACTTGGATTAAGGTAATTCTCCTTCCTCTATAATGAATCCTTCCTCTCTAATGAATGGGGCCATTGACAGTTGTGTTGACTTGTGTCTTGCCACTGGACTCCTATGACTCTGGAGGAGAGAGTGAGGTTGATGACTTTGCACAGCTCTACCCATTTAAATCCAATTCACTTGCAAGTCAAGACATCACCCTCCTGATATCATTGGTCCTCTTTGAGAACTAAGGATGAAAAACAACAATGAATTCTACTTCTTTCAGGGACCCATATAGTTCTTTAGATTTATAATACTTCCTTGTGTTTAAGGCATCCCTAGTAGGGAAAACATTGGGAGCTGATAGTCGCACCTCTCCCTCCATTGAGCCCATTTCCCCTTAGGTATCAGAACAGGTCTTAGATTTATAGTACTATGCTAGGATTGATGTTCCCTTGAAAGGGTAAAGTGTGTGGGATTGCTAAATAATCAACTACTCCCTTCTTGACTTTTCTTGGACCTAACAGTCAGTATAGCTTATAATAGTGGAAGCTAGGTGGCAGTGGATTGAGTGCCTGGCCCTGCAGGCAGAAACACTCATCTTCCTGAGTTCAAATCTGGCCTCAGACACTTATTAGCAGTGTGACTCTGGGCAAGTCACTTAAACCCTGTATCCCTCAGCTCCTCTTCTGTAAAATGAGCTGGAGAAGGAAATAGCAAACTATTCCAGCATCTTTGCCAAGAATATCTCAAATTGTCCCAAAGAGTCAGACACGACTGAAAAGTGACTGAACAACAGCATCTCAATCAATCTTAGGACTTACACATACTCTATCATCAAACATGCCCTCAATCTGTGTGTAAATTATTCTCACAAAAAGGTATACAGATAGGAAAATAGGCATATGGGTTGGTCTTCTTGGTTCTTGGTCTTACTTTGGTAATAATAAGGTCTGAGATATTTTTTTTCTCCTGACTTTGACATCCTTCCCTCCAAATACTTTGAGGATTGATCCTTTAGGGCCTTCAAATTGTATTTTCCTCCAGCACAGAAATCCAATGGATATTTTTTGTCTAATCCAGGGGTGGGGAACCTGGGGCCTCAAGGCCACATGTGGCCTTCTAGGTCCTTGGGTGCAGCCTTTTGACTGAATCCAAGTTTTACAGAATAAATCCTTTATTAAAGAGATTTATTCTGTGAAAGTTTGTATTCAATCAAAGGGCTGTACTTGAGGACCTAGAGGGCCACACGTGGCTTCAGAGCCCCAGGTTCCCCACCCCTGGCCTAATCTGCTTTCCCCATCCTTATTTTCTTCAGTGACATTTCTCCTTCTTTTATAAGCATATCTAGTACTTTCATGTTAAAGTTCAAATGTGGCCGTACTACTGTCCTTGACTGGAAAAAGTTTGTTACAAAGAAATCTTTGCAAATCTTTTTCCTTTTTCAATATATTTGTTGTTTTCTTTCTATTTTATCCTTAAATGGCCTTAGGATGACTTTGATTAGTTGAATTTTTCACCAAGCTTTCTTTAAATTGTTTTTTCCCTCCAGCGAGTCTCATCATTTCATTATGTGGAATTGATTATAATCTTCTATCATCTATCTCTGTGAGATTTTACAAATAAGCATACATTCTAAACTAGATTGTCTTTGGCTACCATCTCTTTCCTCTCAGCAAATAAGTCAAGTGTTTTTTTGACTGAGGTACTATTCAGGCACTTTTGGCCTCCTCCTTAAGGCAAATGATTTACCTGAGTAAAGTGACCCTGTGTAAACCTCACTTTAGAGGTGAGGAAACTGAAACAGAAGGTGGTTATGATTTACTTGTCCAGGGTCTTAGACAGATCATATTCAACTGAGCTACTTTTATGAACATTTATTAGATAAGAACTCATCTCAATCAATGGGCAGCTAAGTGGTACAATGGATAGTGTTAAATGAGCTAGAGAGGGAAATGGCAAACCACTCCAGTATCTCCGCCAAAAAAACCTCAAACATGAACATGATGAAAATTAATGAAGATCAATGCCAAGTCTTTCACTTCCGTTAAAAAAAAAATCTTACATGTACTTACATGTACACATGACTTATTTGCTGAGAGGAAAGAGATGGTAGCCAGACAATCTAGTTTAGAATGTATGCTTATTTGTAAAATCTCACAGAGATAGATGAAAAAAGATTATAATCAATTCCACATAATGAAATGATGAGAATTGCTGGAGGGAAAAAACAATTTAAAGAAAGTTTGGTGAAAAATTCACGGTATAGGCCCAATTTGAACTCAAGTCTTGTGACTCTGGACGAGTCACTTCACCCTGTTTGCCTCAGTTTTGTCATCTGTAAGATGAGGTAGAGAAGGAAATGACAAAGCGCTCCAGTATCTTTGCAAGAAGACCTCTAATGGAGTCATGAAAAGTCTGATAGGACAAACAACAACAAAAACTTAAAGGTTATATAAAGTGAGGCAGCACTGTGTAGTGGAAAGAATGTCACATTTGACCCACACCAAATAGTATCATTCAGAAAAATGAAGATGGAACATGGCCAAGGATCCTTCTACTCCTAATCTTTTTAAGTCTTACTCCCTTCCCTGCCTTGGAGGATACAGTGACAGTGGTCTTCTTGGCATTCTTCACTAGGACATTGCTTCCTACTCAGTATGTTTCACTGCCTATTCTTCATGCCTGCAATCCTCTCCCCACCTCTCTGCCTTTTGGCTTCCTTGAAGTCTCAGCTAAAACCCCACCTTCTATAAGAAGCCAATCTGCAATCCCTTTCCCTCTGAGATTGTTTCCAATTTAAGTTGTATGTATCTTTTTTGTACATAGTTGTTTGCATATTGTTTCCCTTATTAAATTGTGAGCTTCTGGACCACTGAGTGTTTTTGTTTTTCTTTGTATCTCTAGGGCTTAAAGCAGTGCCTGGCATTTAGCAGATACTTAATTAATGTTTATTGATTGATTGATCTTACAGAGAAAAGACATTTCCATTGGCACCTAGCTACTAACCCTGGAGCATAAACACTTAAAAAATGACTTGACTATGTCAGACTGACACTAGCAACTCTCTGAACCTGTTTTCTTCAAGTACAAAATGGGGTTACATACACTACATTAGGGAAAAGTGCTTTGCAAATCTTAAGTGTTAAATAGATGCATGCTGTTATTACAAAGTGAGAGGGAGAACAAACACATATTTTGGAATGCAAGAGTCAAGGTGCCTCTAAACTTCTGAATAGATTGGGATGGGTCCAAATGAACATGATGAAAATTAATGAAGATCAATGCCAAGTCCTTCACTTCCGTTAAAAAAAAAATCAACTCTACAACTATAGGATGGAATAGAGGAGAGCTTTAGTTTAATAGCAGTGAAAAAGGTCATAGGTGTATTGTTGAACCTAAATCCAGCGCATGGCTGATCAAATAGCTAATTGAGTTTCTGTGTTTGCAGAAAAATCCTAATACATTTCTTTTCCTTTTTTCAATTGCAACTGCATTGTAAAGGTCAGAGATTTTTCAGCCTGGAAGAAAACCCATGAGATTTGGATTCCCCCCCCAAGCTTAGGAAAAGCCCAGCCCTAGCTCCTCCAACAACACATGAGACAGGCATATCCTCTACCTTTCTCTTCCAGAAGAGATGCACTCAGGATGAGGACAAGACAACACTCTCCGATGCAGTCCATTTCCAAAATACAGGTCTCCTCTCCCGTTTCCCACGTGGGTGCCCGGCAACTCGACCCCTCCCCCCTTTTGCCCCCCCCCATGATTTTAGATTGGAGAACGCCCTTTCGAGTCGTCCCCTGTGACGTTACAATCCTGATTGTTCTTCAGGGCCAATCACAAAGCCCAATTTCCAGGGAACCCCGGGAGGGGGTGGAGTGGCGCCCAGAGCGCGTGCGCGCATCCTTCGCGTGGCTATATAAACATGGCCGGCGCAGTCGTTCGCTGTTGCCGCTCCGCTGCTAAGTAGGGGGCTTACGTCTAAATATGGGATTTTTCTGCTTCTTTTTCTTTTTCTTCTTATTTTTTTAAATTTCATTTTAGTTTTTCTCCTCCCTCCACCTCCGCCCCCTTGTATATTTCTCCTTTTTTGTGCGTGCGTGCGTGTGTGTCAGTCCGCGGCGGGGGTGGCTGTGGCCGGGCGGCGGGACCACCGCGGTCGGTGCACAAGTTTGGGCCCAGGGAGAGCCGGGGCGGGAGTGCCGCAGCATGAGCTGGTGCCGCGGGGCGGGCTCGGGAGCTTGCTGAGGCGCCGGGCCGGCCGGCTGCCGGCGGGGAACAGCCCCACGTGGGAGCGCTGGGGCGAGGGCGGCGGGAGCATGGGCTTCCTGGCGGCGTGTCCGCCGCGGCGCTGAGCGGCCCCGGGCTGCCCTCCTCCTCCTTCTCCTCCTCGGACTGGGGCTTCTCCGCCACGCCGGCCCCTGACTTCTCTGCAGCGGACCCGGGGACTCTGGCTCGCTATGCTGTGGAGCTCGCCCAGTTCTGGAGCCGGGAACCGTTCGCGAAGCCTCTGCCCTCCTGTCCCCCATGAGCAGCAGCCCCGCGGCTGCCGCAGCAGCTGCAGCTGCCTCGGTCGGGGGGATGCCCGCCGGCCTCTCTGAACAAGGTGCCGCCGCCGCCGCCGCTTCTTCTCCGGCTTGTCTCAGCGTCCCCGGGACGGTGACCATGGCCCCTGCCCTTTTGACCAACGGGAGTGTCCAGAGCCACCTCCCTCCGGCCGCCGGCAGCACGCTCCCGTCCTCGCTGAGGAGCACCCCGGTGACCCTGAACACGAAGGCCCCCATAAGTCTCAGCCTGGTGACCGCAGCGTCCCAGCCGCTGGTGAAGACGGCCCCCTTGGGGACCCTGGTGACCAAACTGGCCACTGTCAATACCGTTCCCAAGACCAACAGCGGTCCCAGGCTGCCCACTCCCCAAATCGTGGCCGCGAAAGCTCCCAGCACAACTACGATCCAGTTGCCTGCCAATTTCCAGCTCTCGCCTGGTAAGTTTTCAACTTTTTTTTTTAACCACCCCTCCCCCCCCCCCCCGGCCATAATTACGTTGGTCGCATCTGTGATGACCTAGGAAAGGTTATATAGATGGGGCCCCTCCTTCCTCCACTCCACCCTCGTGCTCACTCTTCCTTTTACATATATAAAGTGTGTGTGTCAGAAACCTACCTGGGTCCACTCCTAAAGGACCTGACTCATAGTCTGAGTTTGCAGTCATCTTATTGGAAACAGGACCACAGCCTACTGGATAACTTGGGTTGCGTTACAAATTTGAAAGAGTTTTTTTTTCTTTTTTTTTTTTTTTTTTTTGAGTCATTGCTGTATTTCTTTTTCTTGCCACGGGTTCTGGAAGAAGATATTTTCACCCAAATGACTCAGTGGAAGCTGGAGCAATTTTGGCAACCAGGCCTTAGTGATTCCTGGGAGATGGGTGCAGTACGTGGTATCTACATATAAGCCTTTTAAAGTTCCTTTTGGAGAAGTGATCTGATCATTTCATTAGGGTGCCTCAGGAAAGATGGTGTTCCAAAGCTTCTCATTTGTAATGGATGGGAGAGAAGTGCAAATTTTCCAAAGTGTTGTTTCAGATTGTTTTCCAGTTCTTGCCCTTTAGGGTGCTGCCTTCTGCACGAAGGCTATGCTTTGATTGTTAATTTATGATAGCAATGTTTCCATCACACAAAGCATAAATGACCTAGTTGATAAATAAAACTATAGGTCCAGAATTACAAAAAAGTAGTTTGAAAATACTCCAGTTGTGTTTAAGGCAATGCCTTTTGTCTTTTATTCATCATACACGTGGTGCTTTCAGAAGCAATTTTTACCTGCATTTGAAAATGCCACTTTGTATTTATGGAAATCATCTTACCTTTAAGAAAATTTCAAGACTGGGGCAAGCATGACCTTATAAATGTTGTTATCATCCCTGCTACTTACGTAGGAAACGGCTGCTAGCTATTTACTGGTTGGGAAAAACTGGAGGTGGAATTCTGAATAGGAGGGTTCAGATGGCTTGACTCTGCCTGCTGTAGCCATTGCTTTATGTTTGCAAACCTTAAGGGCTTATGAGCTTTCCATACATTATCTAGTCCGAGTCTCCCAGCCACTTTTAGGAAGATAATACTGGTATTCCTGTTTTGCAGATGCTGGTAACTTGGGCTCCATGGCAAAGTGACTTGCCCAGAGGTCGAACGGTAAACTATTTGGTAGGGTGAGAGTACCTTGGGGGCAAGGATAGTCTAGTTGTTGTCTTTGTAGCCCCAGCCCTAGACACTTTGTAGCTAGTGGATTGACAGTTGACTTGGGAGCCAGAAAGACCTAGGTTCAAGTTCCACCTCTGACTTGTACTTCGTGATTTTTGAAAACAAATTGGCTTAACCTCGAATTGTTTCCTAGAGAACTCTGCTAAAGCTTTAAATTGCAGAGAAGTTCTGTACTGGATCTTTATAGGAAGTTTCTGATATTGATGAAATTCCTATCCATCCCTATGTCTCCAACACCTTGCATGTAGTAGGTGCTTAAAGTTTGATGAATTTTAATAAGAATATGCCTATAACAAATATTTAATATTAATTGAGTAAATTCTACTTTTTTTCCTTTGGCCAAAATAATTTCTGTGGAATTTAAATGAACCACACCTGTTCTCATTTGGAGAAACTTTCACCTGTCAGCTTAGTAAAATGATAATTGGAGTAATTGGAGTTCTGTACAGCAATGATGATAAAGGAAGATGAGCAGTTGATTCAAATGGATGCAGTATCTCTTGCTAAACATGATTGGCATAGCATTGTACATAGGTTCTGATATCCACAGGAAAATATTCCTTCACATTTGAAAAAAAAAAGAATCGTGACTATATCAGACTTATTTTTATGATTGTCCATCTACCTGTTCTTTTTCCTGAACTTTAATTTCATTCAACAGATATTTAGTTCTACTCTATACCAGGTTCTCTGCTAGTACTGAGGATACTAAGGCAAAAAACGAAGCAGTTCATGCACTCCAGTAGCTTATGTTTCATAGGGAGGCTGTTACATGTGCACAGGTAATTTGAGCCCAGCACTAATGCTGTGGGGTTTTACATAGGGCTTTACATAGGAATTGGCACTTGAGCTGAATGAACCATGAAGGAAGCAAAGGATTCTAAGAGGAGTTAAGGAAATACATTCTGGGTCTGGGGTGGCGTTAGCTTATGCCAAAGGGGAACTGGAATACAATGGAGAGAGAATTTGATAAAAATAATTATAGCTAATATTTCTGTGGTGCTTTAAGGTTTGCAAAATGCTTTACATATATAGTCTCATTTGATTATGACAAACAACCTAGTGAAGTAGTTGCTGTTATCTCTGTTTTTACTAAGGAGGAAACTGAGGCTCCGAGATGTTTAAATGACTTTCTTAAGGTTACATACCTGTTGAAATGTCGAAGCCAGGAATTGAACTGATGCCTTCCTGACTCTCAAGACATTGATCTCTCCATTACACAATCTTAACTGCCTAACAACATGCAATTTAATAAGAATAAAGTTGAAAATTCTTAGATTTGAGTTCCAAACATCAACTTCAAGTATAAGATGGGGGGAGAGGGAGGGAACAGGTCCTCTAAGAAGGATCTGGGGATTCCAGTGACCCAAAAGAGTATGAGTGAGTCAGCAGTGTAATTTGGTACCCTGAAAAAAGCTAGTGTGATATTTGGCTGCCTTAAGAGATAATGTCCAGGACTAGGACCATGTCTGGAGTATCGTGTTCAGTTCTAGCCATCGTATTTTAGGAAAGACATTGATAAACTGGAAAGTATCCAGAGTCAATCATTCAGTCCACAAACATTTATTAAGCTCCTATGTACATGGTGGTAGGTACTGTGCTATCCGTTGGGGATGCAAAAAAAGGTAAAGATGGCTCCTGCTCTCAAGGAGGTGACCAAGATGTTCTACGACCTGGGGATTATACCCTATGAGTCTCTATGGAAGGAACTGGGAGTGTTTAGTTTGGAGAAGAGAAGGCTTAAACGGGACATGGTAGCAGTCTTCAAGTATTTGAAGGATTGTCAAAGAGGAAGGATTAGATTTGTCTTGCTTGGCCCCAAAAAGCAAGAGTAAGAACAATGAGTGGAAGTTAAAAGAGACACTTTTAGGTTTAGATAAGGAAAAACTTCCTCATAATTAGAGCTTTCTAAAAAGTGGAATAAACTGACGGTTATACTGGATTCTCATTCAGGAGTAGGCTGGATTGCATGGTCTCTGAGGGAGTGTTCTGTCTAACCCTGAGTTTCTGTGATGCTGTTATTCTGGGTATACAGAGTTTGAAGAATAGTTTGACAGAGATGTAACATATGTGAAGCGAAGTGAAATGAAATAAATCTGAGAAACTAGTTGGTAGCCAGATAATCAAGGGCTTTAAATGACAGATTTAGTAGGTTTTATTTATATCTTAGTTAGTGGCAGTAGGGAATCACTGAATGTCTTTGAGCAGGGGAATGACATGCACATTGGTGCTTGAGGAAGATTATATTGGCAGCTGTGTGAAGGATGGATTGGAGAGGAGAGAGACTGGAAGCAAGGAATTCAGTTGGGAGGGTATTACATTAGTCTAGGTGATGAAATGTTTGGAATTGAACCAGGGGAGTGGCTCTGTGTGTGGAGAGAACACAGTGGATCCTGGAGATGGGGAGATAGAAATCATAAGATCTGGCAACTGATGGTTATGGGGGAGTGAAAGAAAGGTGAGAGTACAAGGATGACTGAGGTTGTGGACCTGAGTGTTTAGAAATATGGTGCTGCCATTAACACTGAAAGGAGCAGAATTAAGTCTACCTTTGAAGGAGCAAGCAGTATCAGTGGACACAGTGCACTTTTAAATAAATCTATGATAAAAAACACAACAAAAAACAGAAACAGGTAGGCTGAAAAAAAATTTTTTTTTCAAAGTAAAATTTTTGCATCAGTTGATGCACCTGGTCTTTTTTTTAGTGTTAACTACAAGAGGGAAATTTGCTGGGGGAGCTGGTTTAGGAGGTAAGTGTATGATGAGTTCTATTTTGGACATTTTGAATTCGATATTTTGTTGACAACCAGGTTGCAATGTCTAGAAGGCATTTGGTAATGTTGGGACTAGTGTTCATGAAAGTGTTTAGGGCTACATATATAGATTTAGGAGTCTTGTATTTAGACGTAATTTAACCCATGGGAGCTGGTAAGATCAACAAGGGAGAGAGAGTGTAGACAGAAAAGAGAAAAAGAGGCCCAGGACAGAGCCCTGGGGGACACTCAGCCAAAGGGATCCAGCAAAGGGGAAGGAGAAAGTACAATCAGATAGATAGAAGACCCAAAAGAGAATAGTGTCTTGGAAGAAAAGGGAGGACAGTATCCAGGAGAGGAGGCTGGTTGAGGTTCTCAAAAGCTACAATTAGAATTAGGTCAAGGAGGATGAGGACTTAGGTTGATAAATGAATATGAGGGAGGGAAGTAAAAGCCATTGGTTGACATGGTTTTTTTGTTTTTTGTTTTTTTTGTCAATTAAAGAGAGAAGAAAATAAAGTAGACTTGAGAAAGTGTCGGGTTAAGGAGCCACTAAATAGGGAGAGATTGAATATGAGAGGGAGTTATTGGTGGGGCATCTCCTAGACAAGATTGGGGTAAGGGCTCAAGTAGAAGCCTTGGTCAGGAGGGAAGGGGCTCCTTGCCTCTTTCTTAGAGGACACAAAAAATGAGAAAGAATAGAGGGTGGTGGAGGGCCTTGATTTTTCCCATGGGCAATGAAGACCAATTCCAAATACCATTTATTTTGCCAAGGGATACTGGATCATTTGAATCAGCTTCTCCACATTCTTTATCATTTTTATTGATCAGCACTCCAATTATTGCTTAACTAAATTTACAGGAACAAAATATAAAGTCATACAGATACAAATCTCTAAATAATGGGTGTGCTTCACTTAAATCCCACAAATTATTTTGTTTAAAGAAAAAATTGAACTTAAACAATCCATTTTG